TGGAAAACAATAAATAACAAGCAGATTGATCACAGAGAAATCCAATTGAGTAAAAACTCCGAGAACCTTACCCGTTAGAAATCTACTATAAACGAATTTTGAACTTACAGTCCGCCAAACACGACTACCACTAGTACTTTCTGACCTCCTGATTGCAATTCTCACAGCTCTACTGGATTGCGTGCTTCTGCACCAACTCCCAACTGCAGTTTTCAAACCCCTCCTGGATTGCGTACTCCTACACCAACACCCGGCTTTATGTATTCGTCTATCTCCTGTGAATCAATGAAGAACTCCACGTTCTCCAACAACTGGAACTCTAATCACCTTCCATTGATCTTCAAAACTCTGACAGATGTGTAGGAAGTTGGAGTTTGGTATTTGAATTATGGATTTGATGTTTTCACCGCCAAGAACAAATCATAGAATAAAGGTTGAAAGCTTATTTGATGAAGATGATATAGAGAGTGTGTTTTCTCAATATTCAACCTTAAAAAAAATCGTTCAGATGCGTTCTGGTATTTATACTGTAGGTTTATGAATGAATGAGTTGGATAAAAAATCTTAAAAACGAAAATTAAATTCTCCGGATAACCCTATCGCTCGAGCGAAAGTTGGACGATAAGCGAGGGACGGTGTGTTGCTCGAGCGAAGTCCTGGCGACAAGCTAGCGACAATGTTTCTGTTTCTGCCGCTCGAGCCAAGTCATGGCAATAGTCTAACGAGATTGCGGCGCCGTTTTTCCCACTCTAGACATAATACAACTCAATTTATAGCAATTGCAACTTACTTATTGGCTTTTACAACACAATAAATCTAGTCCATTTTATTTACAGACTTGCCAGTTACATCAAAAATCTAACACCAAAGAAGTAATACTTTGTTGGAATGAATTGTTTGAGATTATGATTGTTTTTTTTTTTAAGGTTTTCACTTCGTAAACACCCCATTAAAACAATTTAAATTGTAATAAATTAAGAGGTCTGGACCATTATAATTTAATTATGTGGGTTATTAAAGAAAATACCCTATGAAAACTATTTAGTACTGTGATTAATTAAAAGGGCTGGACCGTTTTAATTCCATTATTAGTGTTATTAAATGGACATGCTTGACGTGGTTTCCCGGGTAAGTTGCAAATATTGACTTATTGGATGCCCCTATTAATTAATCATGCTTTGTTACACGAAATTTGTATAAAACCTAAGCCTGAGATATAAATTTTATTAATGACAAAAATTAAAAAAAAATTACAAATGAAAAAGAAGAAGCATTATTTACCATTCCTCCTAAATGAACACAATGGCGGACGAATTAAAGCATAAAGGAATTTAGGAGGATTACTCCTAATACAAGCAATGCAAATCACGTGTTGCCAAACAACTTTTAGGTGATGATGAATCGGTTTTTCTTGAATTTGTTGAAGATAAAATATAAACCCAAACATCGCACACGAAACACCCCTTAACCCGACCCAGGAAATAAGTCGTCGTTTGAGGCTTTAACTCTTTTATTATGTGTTGCTCATGACAAGCGAGATTAAATGAGAGGATATAGGATCTTGGATCGTGATGAGATCAGACAGATAAAATTTATTTTATATATAATAAAACCCCAAATCTATATACATTAGTTGATGAAGATAGAGATAGAAATTATAAATATAGTTCAATTCAAAATATGTTTGTTTAGTTATATTAATTCTAAGTCGATAGAAATTATGTTTGTTTAGTTATATTATAACCTTGTTTCGAAGAAAGATATTGCCTCCTCCGTGAACTTGCAACCTAGTGTTGGTAGAGTCTCGATGAGCAACGAAAGAAGTTGACCTTTCTTGATTTTTAGCAAACACCATATCACCCATATCAATCTTAATTAGGCTTTTAAACTGACATAACATTAATGAAAATAATTCAATACATTATACCAACCATAGCCTACGTATTTTCATACTTTGAAATCATCGTATAATTATATTGTTATTAATATTATCAAATATATCGTCCTCGATGTAAACTATTAAACTATCATTCAACCGTCGAATCTTCAATTCAACTGTGTGGTTCAAGCTTTGGGTTGAGCACCTTGAGGAGTCTGGTATTAATATGGAGAAAAACGAGGTAGATTCATGGCGTCAGTACAAATGAGCTTAATGAAAAAAAAAATGTTTGAAAAAAATGACAAACCTAAGTATAGGGAGAAAACTGGAATTTAAAGCCTGAGAGAAATTAGAAGACAGAAAGTGGAAGAAAAAAGTCATGCAAATAGGGAAAAAAGCGAAATTTAAAAAATTTTTAAAAAAATTCTTATTGGGTGAGCTGGTCTCACATGACCAAATGTAAATTCGTCCATGAAGTACAGTACTGAAATTTCTTAAAAATCGGTGTAGTTTTGAACAAAGAACTATCGAGGGTTCGAATCTCTGTCTCTCTCCACTTTTTTTTTTTT